CAACCACCGGTCCTGTGATCTGCAGTAGTAACTCAACAACCATATTGCTCCATCATTAGCAAAATGCCTGAAGCTAAGGTTGGCTCTGATTCCTTCCAACAGCTTTTCCAGGTTTGTTTGTTTTTCATAATTGCTTTGCTTCCCATCATTTTTTACCTAGGTCTTTATTCTTGCCTTAAGAATGCCTTCTGTGCAAAGAGCCTCACAGCCACTTCCCCTAATGCCAGGCCCAAATGCAGAGTGCTGCTCTCTGCAAGGTTTGATTTTATGTTATTTTATCCTTTCAGGACTGCTCTTAGTTACATACTGAGAAAAATTTTCAAAGGGGGAGCGGGGGGGTGGCAGCACAGATTGTTTGCAACTGTAAATTATCCTAGAGGTTTGGTGGGGTTTTGTTGTTTGTTTGGCGTTTTTTTTCTGTTATGTTTAAAAACCTTTCCAGAGGAACAGGGATTTCTGTCCCTGGCTAGAAATCTTCCTTAGGTTCTTTCACTCTGGAAAGAGCGAGAGAAGCTCTGCTTAGTAGAACTAATTAATCATAATTGTAATAAAACATTTATTCCACTTCAAAATATCTGACTGCCTTGTGGTTTAGGAGCTAATAAAAATAGGCATCATGATTAAAAAGTAGGTGTAGGCAGTGATATGTAATAATGCTACAAGCAAACGCTGCAGATGAGATTTTACAACAGCACTTTCACTGGTTAACATGAAACAATAGTGCTCGGTCAGGAAACTACTGCAATAATCCTGCAGCTTTTACATGTCAATATTTAGGGCATTACTACAGCAGGCTGTGTTACTACGGCATTGCAGGAGTTGTGAAATGTGTCTCTGTCGTTCGTAATTACCTCGGCCCTGCGAGAGACGTGCGAAACTACAGAGGAGCAGGCTCCCCCTCCCTGGGCTCTGCGGCCTGCTGCTGAGGGGCGGGAGGACGGCGGGGCGGACGGCCGGCCGGGGAGCCGGGCTGGGAGCCGAGCCGGGAGCAGGGCTGGCGGCGGGGCTCTCCGGAGGGCGGCCCGAGGGCACAGGGGCCGGGCGGGGCGGGCTGTGCCCGCAATGCAGCACCGCCTCGCCGGAGCCGCCGCCGCCCCGGGCGCGCAGGCAGCCGCGTTCCCCCGCCGCGCTGCCCCCCGGGACACGGCCGCCCGGGGCCGCCCCCGGCCCGGGGCTGCGCTGGCCGTGCCGGTCCCTGGTGCCGGCTGGCTGCCGCAGGAGGTGCGTGTGTAACACGTGTTTGCGCGGAGAACGGCACCACACTGACGGCCACAGCCCGAGCCACTGGTGCTGGGGATAAGGCATGGCTACTGAAACAGCCTTCTGTGCCTTGGGCGGAGACAAACACCTGCATGAATTACAAGGCGGAACCTGCTGGTATGAAAGGGTCCAGAGACAGAGTTCAGTCTAGCTTCAGTGTTCCCTATTCTCATCCCTGTGCTGTCCGAATAAAAATCACCTCCGAATTTGCGGCTGAGAACTGAACCTGAGTTGAACCCACCCAGTGTGAATTTGACACAGGTGATCCTTCCGAGAGCTCCTGGACCAGGAGAACTACAGAGTGAGAAGTAAGGACCTTTCTCCCATAGACAAGGAAAAGGTCCATTGCTGCTAGTCTCAATAGTTTATTTGTCTGACACGACTGCTGCTCACAGCAGCTGCAGGCCGATGACTGCCATGGTAAAGCGATGAGCAGCAACTGGATGTCAGTTTCACCTCATGGACCCTCTCTGGAAATGGATGAAGGTGGCAAAAACATCCTCTACTATACAATCAGCTTGGCTGTGGTAGAACCAAGCAATTGGAAGTGCTCTGCCCTTCAAACAGACCAGCAAAACAGCAGGCAATGGCATAGCCCAAGTTTTCTTCTTCCTCTGTGGAATGGCAGAAGATTGGCACTCTGTTGACCCATGCATTGGAGTGTCGTTGACAGCCCAACATCACCCTGGGAAACACATGAAATTAGAAAGAATACATAGAAATATCAGCATGGGGAGGGATCTTCCCTTGGTGGCTTTACGTGCCCTTTCTGACAATATGAGATGTCACGACAGAAGCCATAGCAGCCATAGCCACTGCTTGGTAACACTTCCTATATTAGGCTGCAAGTAGCATGACCCTGAGCCTCTCGAGTTTCACCTGGAAATGCCTTTGTGCTGAAGTTACTGAAACTACATCAGACATACTTTCTGTACATTGGAGCAGATTTTGACTCAGAAAATGAGATTTATATGTAACAGCTGCTCAACAATACCACCTCATTGAGATGCCCAGCTAAAACCTCAGTCCCACTGAACACCTAGTGCCTCTCTTCCCATCCTCAGATTTGATTCCAAACTCAATGAAGACAGCAAGAATGCTTTTACTGAAGTCAGCAGGCTTGAACCAGGCTTCACCCTGTAAATGTTTACCAATGACTAAGCAATAAACCCAGTTCCCAATCTGGCTACTATAACCTAAAATGTTTCTCTATCAGTTCAGGAGCTGGTGAAGATGAGTTACAGCATGAGGGTGTTAAAAGACAGGAGATAACTCACTACTGTTATTTTTTGGCCCTTTTCCTAGACTTACCTATTTTTATCCTATTTTTAACATTAATTCTGTTTTCTGTTTCTTCCTAAACTAATATTGGCCTATTTTAACTAACTGTATCTATTCTTTGCTGAAAGTATAGAATGGCTGTTTCAGGTTTTTTCACTGGTAACTCTTACCCCAGCTATATTTCACAAAACAAAATAGCTGTCCCCACATGCCTCTCTAAATAATTGTTCGTTCCTCTTATAATTTGCTTATATGTCAGTTTCTATTTAAAAATAAAATACAATCATTGACTAACCATTTTAAAGCTGTTCTTGCTAACTTAAATTAATCCCCATTCCACTTGTCTTTCTGCCTTTCTGCTCCACAACGGCCCCCTAGAGAAATAGCTCTGTAAGAAAAAAAATAATGCACATATCCAGTCATGCAACACTTTTAACAGTTAGTTTACTCTCAACTGGCAAGGACTGGGATTGGTAGAGTCATTTTCTAGCAAAACTGGAAAATGTTGGCCCAGTGAAATGGATATATTCTAGGTAACATATATTTTCTAAAAAGTATTTTTCAGAACTTTTTTTTTTTTCAGGTAATATAATTGCTGATAAAAATTAGACTGAAAGCAGTCAGCAACAGTGTCTCCAAAATTTTACTTAAAGCTGGTCAAAACTTTAGTTAGTGCTTCTCTCTGGCAGGAAACACCCATATTGTGAAGACAAGTTTCATTAAAATACTGAGTGAAAGTCAAGTATTTGAGTGTTTCTCATGAAGGTGCTAAGAGTTGTGCTATAAATATTTCTCAAAGTGAAATGCAGCAATCACTCTGGCTAAAATAGCTGATGCTCAGCTGAGAGACAGATCTGAACTCGAGTTTTCCTTATCCTACAACTAGATATGGGTGAAAGGCTGGACATTCATTAAATTTTTAGTGTTATCACACAAAGCAGAGAAAAAAAATATTTGAAATGGGAACATTTTTCACAGAACAGGACAACTGTGGCTATGCAGATGGAGAAAAGAAGGTTCCCCATAAGCCCTTGTCTTACAGTGACAGCTTCATACCTGGAACTAAATCTGTATGGGTCTGAGTCCATCTGACTGGTGTGGTTATAACCAAATTGGAGGTTTGCCTAGTATCACTGGGGACTCCTAGCAGATCTGTTTATGTGGACACAATTGTAGGACTGGGGCTATTTGCTATTTATGTAACAAATTCCATATACCAGAATCAGAAGAAGTCAATAGTAATTTTTATGTAAATTTCATAAAGTAGCACAATTAATAAGACAGGTGTTTCTAAGTATTTCTCTCTTATTTCCCCTACATTCCCATACCACTATTACACCGGCTTTCCTGTACAAGAATCTCCACATACCCTATGTTTTCCCCCACAATTGGCCTTCTGTTCCTCTCAGCCTCCCCATGGATACACTTCAGAGTATCCCCAGTGTACTGAAAGGAGGTTGCAACCAGGTGGGGGTTCACTCTCTTCTCTCAGGTAACTACCGACAGGACAAACTGTGCCAGGGTAGGTCTGGGTTGGACATCAGGGGGAATTTCTTAATGGAAAGAGTTGTTAAATGTTGGAATGGGCTGCCCAGGGAGATGGTCGAGTCACCATCCCTGGAGGTGTTCAAGAAATAACTGGAAGTGGCACATAGTGCTAAGGTTTAGTTGACAAGGTGGTAACACTAAAGGTTGGACTTGACAATCTTGGGAATCTTTGCCAATATAAAAATTCTGTGCTTCTGCAATTAAAAATGCAGAATCACATGGGAAGAGCCAGTGTATCCAGCACGTGAGAGGAACAAGCAGGCCCTTCTTCTGTGGAGGAAATCCCTTCTACAGCGAGGGTGGCGAGGCCTGACCCTGGCGAGCTCCAGTTCATGCAGGAGAACCCAGTCTGGTCAGGGACAGGGCTGGGGGTGACCCGGCCCCCGGGTCGCCGGCCAGAAGGTGGGCCAGCGGGAGCAAGCACCGCCACAACCCCTCTCGGGCCTTCCCCACCGGTGTCCTGGCTGCAGGGCGGTCCCCGGGCGCGGGAGCTCCGGGCTGTGCTGGGCGCGGCAATGCCCGGTTCCGGCCCGGTTCCGGCCCGGTTCCGGCCCGGTGCCGGCCTCCGCTCCCGTCCCGGTGCCGAATCCCCGCCCGTGCTTGCGGCGCGCCCCTCGGGCCGCCAGGAGGCGCCACCGCCCCGCGCCCGCCGCAGCCCGTCCGCGCGCCTGGGGAGGTGCGCGAGCTCTCGCGCCGCGCCCCGCCCCTCCCCTCCCCGCCGTCACGTGCCCGCCGTGCGAGCGCCGCCGCCGCCGCCAGGCGCTTCTCTCCCTGCGGGCGTGCCGCCAGGGGGCGCCGCGGCCCAGGGGCCCTGCCCGGGCCGGCGCGCGCCGTTTGTTGACCGCGCGGCGGCGGCGGGTTGGTGGCGCGAGACTCTCCCGTGACGCGCTCGCGGGAAGGGAAGGGAAGGGGGTGGGGGTGGGGAAGGGGCCGTGCCGGGGACACCGAGCGAGGTGCGGGGAGAGAGAAGGAGGGAGGGAGAAGGAGAGAGAGAGCGGCCGGCTCTGGAGAGGAGGAGGAGGAGGAGGAAGAGGAGGAAGCCCGCGGGCAGTAGACGGCGGTTGCGTGCGTCCGTCCGTCCGTGCCGGAGGGGGAGCCGCGATGTGAAGCCCCACACACACACAACACGCACACGCACACGCACGGCCCGGCAGGGCAGGAGGCAGCGGCGGCGCTCCCGGGAATGTGTGTCTGGGACGCGGCAGAAGGTGAGCGGTGGCGGAGCGGGCGCCTTCCCCCCCACGGCGCGGCGGACCCATGGCGGGAGGGACGTGCGGGGGGTGGCTCGGGGACGGGGAGAAGGAAGGCAGGGAGGAGGAAGGGAGGGGAGCGGGAGGCAGCGGCGGGGCCCGCAGCCGCTGCCCTGCCGCCCAGCCCCTCCCTGGGCCCGCGGCCTGGGCCTTCCCCGTTCTCTTCCCGGCGCGGGAACGGGGGGAAGGGAAAGGGGAACGGCGCGCGGCGTTATGTAAGCGGCGCTGAGGGCCTCGGCTGGCCGCGCGGGAGGGCGGAGGGGGGACACGGGGACAGACCCTTGTGCGCGCCCGCGAGGCGCCGCGGGGGCGCGCCAGGTGTGCGCGTGTCCGGGCCACCCGCCCCTCCCCGCACCTGTGCGTCTGTCTGTCTGTCTGTCTTGTCTGTGTCTGTCACATGGGGCCTGCGCTATAGTTGCAACACGGGTCCCCCAGGGGCGAGCGAGGCTGTGCCACAGCTTTCTGCCAGCGCGGAGGGGTCACTGCAGGGAAATAGGTTGGAGGGGGAGGAGAGGGGGAGCCCGAGCCCTGGCGCGGCCGTGCCCTCTGCGACGCTCCCCGCGCTGTAGCAGCGTGTATCTTGTCTGCGGTTTTCCCGTAGTGTTTGTCACAAGTTGTATTTGCTGAGCAATAGTGCTGGGTATAACTGGTGTGCTGAAGGGAAGAGGGAGGACCTGTGCTTGGTGAGTAAGCCCGTGCTTACCAACACTGAGGGGCAGATGTGTTCACATCTTGACCCCTTCCCGTCTGGTTTTGATGCTTTTTGCTATACAGTTACCATTGACTTGACCTGTGATACTGAACTAAAAGCCCCTGATGGGAAATGAGCTGTAGTGGCATGTTAACCTTAAGAAGGAAGAGGAGCATAGTATCGCCAGCACGTTGGGGTTTTTTTGGTAGAAAATCTGTGTGTTCTGTGCTGTAATATTCCATTATTTCTGATGCTTTAAAATCAAGATTACAGTCTTCAGAATGACAGGGCTGTGAATACTCCTGTCTTAATAACTATCTTAATGAAAAGATAAGTTTATGTTTGTTGTGCATCTTGATCTAAAATCCAGGTCCCGCCTCAAATTTGACACCATAATCCAAAGAAGCAAAACCAGGGGACTTTAATTTTTTTATCTGAATTCTTTATTCATTTAGATGCAATTGTTGCTCATATAGAACTGTTTTAAACAGTTACCTAATAACCATTAGATGCGAGAAGTTACATCTAAAATTTGTTTCTGGAATAGTCCTGTCTTACTCAGGTTTATGACATTTAACACAAATGAAATCCAAGATCAGATAGAAATCCAAATCTCTGACAAATTCCTTGCCATCTTGCCTCAAGCATGCCTCAGTTATTACCCATTCCCACCATATTGGTCTTTCATTCAGTCCATTTCTTCTGCTGGATAATGTACCAAATCCCTGTTAGTAAATAATCCCAAGCTGTCACACTGGAGGTCACTGGTAGGACAGTGTTGTAGAGGCACAGTGCAGACACCTACCTTGTGACTCACTCATGTTTAACTGCTTGAAGAAAGATTTTTTTAAAAGCAAAGTGCTAATAGGAAAAAGTCATTCGTATATTTCAAGCCTCAATTTTAAAGTGGTTGTACATTTTTTTTTTGTGTACAATATGTGGTTTATTCACTACATTATTTAGTAATGAGCCCTTCAAAGCTAAGACCAGTCCATTTTTCCAGTGAATAGTACATACACTCTTGTACAGCCCGTTCTGTTGCAGTGATAGTGTGTTGTAACAGAGTGCCAGTTTTCATGAGTTCTTTCTGATCCCTTGACCCACATGACTTCTTGAAATAATTTTTATGGCAAATTTTCAGTCTTTCTACCATCCCTTTCATTTACTAGAAAGATTTTTTTTTTAAAGTAAGAATTAAATTGGTTTTGAGTAGGTAGAAAAAATTAATATGATTACACAGACTTTTTTTTTAATAACCCTGGACAAGCAGGAAAAAAAATAACTGGCCTGACCCTGCCATGTGCTTTTTCCATTTGTTAGCTATTGTTTATTTCATAGAGAATGTTGATTTTTTTTTTTAATTTAACATTTTTGTCTTTTAATTAAAAGAATATATTATTATCACTGAGATCTCTGTCAGCTCTTAGGAAGTTTGCCTGGTGTGTATATATAACAAGGGAGCTAAATAGTCAAATCCTGAAACCCTTCTTCAAGAATACAATGTAGATTAATTTTGTGGTAGTGCCACGAGTTTACCTAAGCATAGCAAAATGAGGGAAAAATTGGAAACAAATAGAAATGAGAATGGCCATGGAATTACAAAAAACGTTGGAAGAGAGCAAACTTTAAGCAGATACAAAAAATCATGAGGAATTCTTAGACATGTCATACAGTATAGTTGTGGGAGTGTCTAACAGATAGGTATTTGTAGTGCTCTGCCCCAAGACCAGCTTTTTACTCTGTTGTGGAAACCAGAGCATTTAATTGGGCACACAAATGTTTTTAGGGAAGAGGGCCTGCCATGTCTGTGATCCCCTCACTCTGTATTTCATTTGGAATATCTGGTGCTCATAACATAGAAGTCAGAATTAGGAAAGGCTTCTTTCTCAGTGTTCAGCAGGAGAGAGGTGAGTGTGCAGAACAGCCCTGAATTCTGGGCTGTAATGGTAACTTCCACTCCGGTGGCTTTTATTTGAAAATCGACTTAAGGACTGCTGCTATTGTAGCTAAGGAATCCACGACTATGAAATTCCCTCAGGAGATACTTTTGGTTTGCTATATCCATAGCAAGGATTCCATATTCCTTGCTTTAAATGCCTAGGCAAACTGTAGTGCCTGAATTTCAGTGTTAGCTCTTGGATAAAGCAACTCCTTTCCCATCTCAAAGTTTCAGGTTTCCCAGCTGGTATTCTGCCTGTTTGGTAGTGCTGAAACTGGCGGCTTGAAATTCAGTTACTTGCAGAAGTAAAGCTTAGCCATGCTGTGATTAACTCTTGTGTTGTTTTGCTTTTCCATTCCCAGCTATATATAAATACTTTACCCAAGTCCCAGTGTAATGGAACTCTTGGCTGTAACCTGCTTATTTGGTTTGCCTCAATTAATGCACATCTCTTCAGTGTCTTGATTTATGTGAAAGTAAATAACCCTGGAAGAGACAAGGGTGGTTTCTCTTAGGAGAAGACACTGCTTAGGAACCTTGCAGAGTCATTCTTGCAAATGCAGGTGGAATGGTTTGAATGCCAAAGCAAGAAAGCAGTGCAGAAGCTGTGCATAGTAGGGTCAAGAACTACCCTAAAGTTTTTCCATATTAACATAGAAACTGGCAATCTTCTGGTAAGGTGGGGTATGTGGTGAATTGTGGCAGAGTCCTGGGGACTGTTGATAGTATGTTTTGTCAGGTTCTAATTGTCAGCGAATATCCAAAGTAAAATAAAGTTTAGTCCACCATGTTCATGACTTCAGCTCTTTGAGCTGACTCACATCAGTTGTTTGTTCAGGGCATGATAAGTTAGCATCTTGAACAAATGGTTGTGCTCCACTGAGGTAATTTTGGAAACCTAGGAGCCATTGCTTTTTAAAAGAAGTAATGGAATTGCTATTAATTCTTACAAACAGGAAAGCCCCTGACCCCGTGGCATGTAAGGTAAATGATTAGTGCAGTTTCCCAAGTAGTGTATGTTACCATTCTGTGAAATTGAATGCAACTCCCAGTTGAAGTAAAGTACTAAAATAATGGTTTATATTGAAAGGATACTGAATCTGCTTGTTGTTTTCAGGAAACATTAGAGCACTCGGCTCTAATACTGCCTTTTCAGCCACAGTTCCTTGATTTTCATGCTGTAGTTGCATTATTTGGTAAGCAGTTCCAAGAATCCGCTTAATAAACCAATAGTAGGGGAGAGGTAAGGTTGTAATGACTTTTCACTGTAATTTCTGGCTGGTTTGAAGTTTTAAGCGTTGCCCCTTCCTGTATCATCTATACTGATTTTTAACCCAAGTTTTAAAATTGCAGCATTTGCTTGGGATAGGCCACTTTTGCTCTGTAGCCATTTTGTATTGGTCTCTCTCCACTAAGCACCAGTGTAACATTGCTGGTTTTATGTCAGAGGTGCTTAAAATACCAACTTAGAACCAGTACAGGCCAAGAACACAATTCAGATTTGAGTATAAATTAAAGGATCTTGAAGGATTACAGCATTTTTGTTTTTTCCCTGTATTTTTCCTGGAAAATACAGAAACACGGTGCTCTTCTTATTTTTATCTGAATCTAGGAGGAAACTTGATAATATGTTGGGTCAGATCAGAAGTTTGTTTTGTTAACAGTAAGCAAACACACTGAAATACTTTCCCTTTGTGTTCTGAGCTTCTGTAGTTTCTTGCCTTAAAAAAAAAAAAATAGAATATGTTTTTATTTTATTTATCTGTTGAACAGATATGGACTTTTAGCATCCTTGGTATCCAGTGTCAGATAATGTTCAAATAAACTAGGCTATAGATTTAAAAATATTTCCATTTCTTTTGATCTCTCCACTTGTTAGTTTCATCTGATTCTTCCTCGTCTTGTTGGTCTGAGTTAATAGAAAAAAAGTAGTATCTGTAGACTAAAGAAAGATGTAGAAAACTTGAGTAGAAACTTGAAGCTTCAAGGCTAAGCATAGAAGCCTTACGTTGTGAAGATTTTACTTCAAAAAAGATTTTGCAGCTTTGAGAGTTTCAAAGGCAATGTCAGAAAAGCTTTTGGGAAGTTGGCTATGCAGTGTCAGTTGAAATTAACTGATGTCAAACACTGCTGTGAACAGAAAATCTACGTATTTCAATACTGAATCTGTAGTTATCAGTTCTTTTGCTGGTGAAGTTGTTGAGTTCTTAGAGTTTTGCTGCCCATATTTGAGTAAAGAGTCCTCCTTAGTATCTGACATCATCTACCATTTGTAAAGTAGATGCCTTCTTTCTCATTTTCCCTGAAAAGCCTGGCAGGATCAACACC